TGCATTGCCAAGGAGTCACGTGAACCGCCGGAGCCGGGATCCAAGTCCCTATGCATTTTAAGAGGGGCAATAGGATGAGATGTCTGGGCCCATGCCAGGGTCTGGATGAAGTATGGCTTCCTGACCTTCGTGCCGGGCTCAGCATGGGAGATGGCTGCTCCAAACAAGGCGAAAGCTCCCAGATGCCAACCCCCAACCCTACTTGCAGTTTCTCCAAGTGGCACACCCCTTTGTGGTAGGTAACTAAAGACAAACCAACAGGAACCCGGGACCCCCTAGATGAGAAACCTTGAGTATGGTCAAAAGTACCAATCTATGGGCGGAACCACACAAACGGGGGACGAACTCCAAACTCTCGGGATCATCTTGAGCGTGGCTTGCGTGGATGACACGTACACATAACCCCATGAATGTGGGGCTACTATCAACTTACGAAGGGTTCTCCTTTGCGGGAAAACGTATCCGTTGACCCATCCAAAACGCCCTTCGCCCGCTCCGAGTTGGTCGTCATCAGCCTTGTCCATCTTGTAGTGGCATTGTCACCCGGACCTAATAACACTCCTTGGGCCAATGCTCTGAAGGCTTCCTTCTGCATACTTTTTGGCGAGCTCACCTCGGATAAAACGAGTTCACCATGTTAAAGCTCCTGATTCCTTATTTTGGTAAAAACAAAATGCAGGTCCTTCGGCCTTGCGCTCGGATTCTCGGATTCTCGGATTTGCTCGCTCCGAGTTGGTCTTCATCATGCAGGGGGGCACCATGGTCTGGGGGGCCTACCTTTGCTGGCTGGCCATGGCGAGCGCCTCTTGCGCCCAGGCGCGTAGAAATGTGGATTTTGGATGGACGGACGAGGTGGGAAGGACGGGCCACCCACCGCCGTTTTCTTTTTTTTGAACCCTTTCAAGTGGACCATCATGGGCGTGATTTGGTGTTTGTTGTGGGGGGAGATTCACTTGGGTTGCTTTTTTCAGGGATGCTAAGGAGAACGGCATTTTTTGCTTGGGGGATGTGGGACAGGGCGCTTGCCCACAGAGTGCCGGCAAAAAACTGCCGCCCAGATTGGAGGGCGCCGTGTCGGATGAAAGCAACTCGTAGCCAGTTGAGTCCCCCCTAGGCCTTCTGTTTGCGGTGAATTTGGGCTTGACATGTGCTGACCAATGGAGAAAGTACTCCCCTTGCAAGCTAGCAAAGCTGTGATTTCTAGAGGACCTCTCCTTTTGGGTGACCCTCCTTTCGGGGGCTTCTATGTAAATCTGCAGGGGGGTGCCCTCCCTCAATCATGAAAACTGCCCGGAAGGGTTGGAAGACTGCTTCCCTTTCGGGGAGTGTGTGGTGCTTCTCCTGACCCAGACCGCAAGTTGCCAACACCCCGAAAGTGGAGCTCACCCGTTGGTGCTTTTTTTTTGGACTCCGTATTTCAGGTTCGGGAAGTAGACATGTTGGAGAGTCATATGGGTATGGGTCAGCATTAAGCCACCAGGGGACCGCAGGTTTCCATTTAACAGGGTTCCATTTTGGGTACCTTTTTTTGTTAACCCACAGCCATATTGAATCCTGTTGGGTTTATGTATTCACTGTTCAAGCTCAGCGGTTTGGATGGCCGCTCTGCCAATGTGTCCACGTCAGGTACTCAGTTGCTCGCAGCCAATCGACCAGATCACCCTTCGTCCGGTTGACGGCTTATAGTCAAACGCATCATTTGCAGGGCCTTTGAGAAAATGGATCGGCCTTCATAGGCTTCACCCCTGAAGTGTTGGTCACTGATTGCCGGACGTAGTGGTCAATATCCACAGTTCATATGTTTGCTAGGGCAAATCACACTGCGGCTCATCCACTATTTGTCATCCAAGGGGGGGTTGTCTCTAAATAGAGGGCCAAAAAATTGTGGTGTCTTTTTGGTTTCCGTTTAAACCAACCCGAAAAAAGGGTTCTCTCACAAGAAGACACACCCACGTGTTGCCGCCAGGATGTGCTGAACTTCACCTTGGTTTGCACGGTGCTTTGACTGAATTTGTGGGGGGATGTTGAGCCAAGTTGCACGGCGGTGGGTTGCCACCATGGCAACTAAGCGCTTATGACTTGCGCTTCGAATCTTGACGAAAAGGACCATACTAGTCAGGCTCCCCCCTTTAGTGGGAGATTGCATCTTGGGGGCATTCCTCAGATTGGCATGGCCTCCGCGTTCAAATCCAAAGTTGACGGTGGTGGCTGTTCGGCAAGGTTTTAGGTGAGTCACCCACGTGGTCCGCCACAGCTCGAGTCTACTGCAAGGTGCTTTTCCGGTCGCGAAACCTGAAGCCCATGTGCTTAGTATTTGCGGTTTTGGTGTAGGGGCACCTTGGGGCACGTGGTTGGGCCCCTTTATTGCCATGTTTTGTTGGAATTATTCCGTGCATCTCCTCAGAACCGAGCCTATCTTGGCAAAAACCCCGCAGCTTGCAGAGTTTCGCGAAGAAGCTCTAGGGGCAGAGCAGATTTGGTTCTCACGGCTTCGCGAAAAAAAAGAGGCTCCCCACAGCTTGCTGGTTCTTAGAGCTGATTTTTTCCTGTACTCCTAGGGGCTGCTGGCCGTCATCGAGGTCATCGGCTGCTTCTCAGCCCGGAAGCCGAGCGAAAGCCACCTTCCCGGGAAAATCCCGAACAACACCGGAGTGCACGGAAGATCACATGTTGAGATTAAAAAAAAGTCAGGAATTTGACAGAGAGTAGCAGAACCTAGTCCATGTTGAGATATTTTTCCCGGAAATTGACAAGAGGGTAGCAGAACAGAGTCCCAGAAGATCATAGCTTCAGATGGTTCGTATACCCTGACATATAGTTTTAGAGCCCCCAGCTGTTTGACACACCGGTTGCTGGCTTAGTAAACAATCGAAGCACTCGGGAACCTCAGCACGGCGCTTGCTGCTGTCAGGGATCCTGCCATCCCACAAAAGACTCCAGGGACCCCCAACCAGCAGGAAGGAGGTAATTGGCCTCACATGGCGTTTTTCGGCCTTAATCCTCTTGACCCCCTTCATAGGAAACGTGGACAAACGGCACGCCCCTCTTTGGAGGAACTCGAACCACGTTGACACTGCTGGCAATGGACACAGTTGCTGCCGGTGACGTTTCAGCGTCGCCAAAGGCCACCGTGTCCCAAACATTGCTCAACTTGGGGCTGGATCCATCGCATGTTCTATGTGATTGTTGGGGTACATGGGATAAAGCAAATCGCCAGAATTTCAACAATTCTGACACGTTTTGAAAATTGCAATTATCTGCGATAAATGACTAGAAGACAGCAAGCTCACATTCGGGCTCCAGGTTGCGCCGGATTTTCGCCATGTTTTCTTTATTGTGGAAACGTGCATTGGTATGGAGGGTTGTTTTGGAACAATGGCACTGCGGGGGGAGGCGGCACTGGGCGGCAGCGCAGTAGTATCCAAAATGAGAAAGGGTTGAAGAGTAGGCAAGCAGCTAGCTGTTTGCTTACTTGTTTCGTTTCTTTCTTTGCCTCTGCGTGTTTTGCTGGTCCTTAAAGATCCACAGATCGGTGCCCGGTCGGGTTTTCCATGCGGAAGGTCTACCTGGTCTTCATCCCCTCCTTCATGTTCCAGCTCCGCGATGCGGCCAAGTTCACCTGATTCGAGGCTTCTAGGCTTCGAGCCCGGCGCCGAGGTAGGGGAGTCGTTGGAAGCTGACGTCTGGGAAGGTTCGGGGGGAGTCCTGGAAGACGAGTTGTTCCTTTATAAGTGGGTTTCATGTTAGCGCACAGGAGGGTAACAGGTGTTTGCCCCTAAAAGCATGCCTAAACGTCGGTTTGAGAGTAGTTTCCTCAAAACCCCACTCGAATTACGTAGCCTCTGAAATTAGGCTGCCTGTCTTGTTCAAACATGTTTAAGTTACAACCCGTGTTTCCCTCCCATGTTTTTCTTTTAGCCCAAGATACGCTGAGGTTCTGTATTAAAAGCTGGGTCACGGGGACACCCTTGTTTATGATGCCTGACTCGCCATTTCCAAAAATGGACAGCTTCCCAAGCATGCTCTGGAGGTGTCCCTGGAAAACAGCTAGCACAGCTGGAGGGCCCGTGGTCGTGGTGCAATGCACACCCTGCGAAACGCTGCGAGGTACTCAGGGAGTTAAGCCCCGATCCAAAGCGGTGCCACTTTGTAGCTTGGAGCTTTCAGGAGTTTGAGGAGCTTCATCCGAATGGTTACTTGGGTGTTGGCTGTTAAAGGTGTTCGTTGAGGGCCTCGAGAGGAAGTCCCTCATGCTGAGGCCCGCGCCAAAGCCGCCACGGGCGAAACGCCAAAGGGCGAAAAGCGCGTGGGGGCTCTCGCCACGAGAAAAGATCGATCCCGCTCCGAGGGTATGTTGGCAGCTGACTTCGGTGTCGACAGGCCATGCCCCCCCCCCCCCGCAAAGTGAAGGGATGTTTCGCTGATTTGGAATCCCCTCCGCGTTTCTGGAGGACACATTTCCTATACATTTCCTCTAGATGGGATCCTCTGCTGGGTTCCATTCACAACCAACTAAACATCCAAGGGGATGGCTTGGGTGGTTTGAAGGCCCTTGGTTTGCCCATTCTGATCGGGTTCGCTCAGCCATGGAGCCCATCCTGCCGCCGTGACAGCTGTACTTGTACTCGACACATGAAAGACCAACTCCACATGTGGCCAGTACAAAACCTTGTTGGGAGCCATCAAAGGCCTAGTTTGAAGGTCAAGCCCCTTAATGCTTCCTATGGCCGCTCTGAATCAGGACATGAATGAGCCTCGCAGTCTTGAACATCTCGCGTCGCCCCACACTTTTCGAGTTGTTCAGACATGCAACCACCAAACCCATCGGCGCGACCCCTAAAACTTCCGGTGTTGCTGTTCGTTTCCGTTGAAACATCCAGACGGGGGTCTCCAACCAAGGACTTTCACTTCGCTCAAAGACCCCTAGCCACCGACTCACCGACTCAGCGAACTCGCGGCACGACCCCGAGCTTCCCTTTTGGGGTGCGCGCGGCGGGGCCATGGCGATGCCACTGGGAATGCCGCAGGCGGTGGGACAAGGGGGGTGGGGGGGTGGGGTGGGGATCCTCATCTCTGGTCCAAAGCCACTCAAACCAAGGGGTCTTTGCTGGAATACATGAACCGCCTCCGAGGTCTTTTTTTTTGGCAACCCAGAGAAAGGAACCCTTGTCAGAATGCTGGGACCCCGCCTGATTCGTCAAGCTCGGGTTGTTGAATCCTGGGTCAAAATTACATGGTTGTCAAACATGACGGACCCGTTTTTGCCCCCTGCAGCAGCCATTTAGGCTCGCGCAACCCGTCGGGGTTGGTATGAAGGGAAGGAAAGCCATCATTTTTGGGGACAACACCATTACTTCCAAAGCATCAACAGGGACTCACTGATATTCCCATGTTTGTCAGGGTAATTGGGATAATATCTTGATTCCATGGCTTTCGGTTGGTGTGCATGCCCACCTAAATTTGTGTGTGGGGGTCTTTTAAAAGAGTTCCTGAGCCAGGACAAGCTGTGCTCAGTGGTGATGGGGGGAGATTTGGGCCGTACTTCGCAAGTGGCTAATATCCCTGGTCAACAAGTCCCCTGAGTTGGATTTAGTATCCTATAAACCGAGGGTATCAGCCCTTAGCCATTTGCCTGACGTGGGGAAGGTCATCCAAGTCTCTGAAGCCTCGCTTCTCGCAGGTCTACCAGCCACAAGAGCAGCTCATAACGAGCCAGGACCCCACTGCGCCGCGGGTGAAGGCGCGCATCCCAAGAGAACTCCTTCGTTCGTGCTGGAATTGTCAGCTTTCGCCGGTTTCAAAGGATGGACAACTCCTTCCCTCTCTCTTGGTTCTCAGCTTCGGTTGGAAAGGATGGGATGTCCCTTCCGCACTCTCCGCAGAAATGGCCAGCAACTCGCTTGGACCTGGCCAGCCTTTGGCCCAGATCGCTGCGCGGCCCTCGAGTTCGAGACTTGTCTCTGGGAGAGTCCGGATTGGTCAAAGGATCAAAGATGTCATCTGTTGAACTGGGGTGTACTCTTGTGCCTGTTCTTGTTGTTTTCGTTCAGGCCCGCAAAAAGGACGGACGCCTGATTTAGCAAGTGGTTAGTATCCGCAGTGGATAGTTTGGTTTTCCAGTCCTGTGGGTTATGTGCAAAGTAAGGAAATCATCGCTGACCTGACGTGGGGTGGTCATGCAAGTGGTATACCCCTTGCGGACCTCGGTTACATCTCCAGGGGCAAGTGGGTTTCCTCCAGTCGGTCCAGACCTGCCAAAATGGGGAGAGGGGGTAGAGGCGAACAGCGCTTAGGGGATGAATACGTGCATCTCAAAGCCACATAAGTTGCCAAAACAAGGCACAAGCCCAACAAAGGCAACAAAAAGGCCAAATGAGGCCAACACAGGCCAACACAATGCCAAACACGGCCACAGCCTCTATCGGTGGTTGGAGGCCTACGAGGATCCAAGCGAACGGCTGCATCATCGCCAGGTCATCGCGCCCGGCTGCGAGCTGCGGCTCATCGTGGATGACGACAAGCACGCGCGCGCCGAGGGCTGAGCCTTCGACGCGGTCGTCTAAGGACGCGGTCAACCCATGGGGTTCCAGTTTTCGACTGCCAAGGTAGACTTACACCCAAGGGTGTCCAATATTTTTCAAAGCTTCCTTGAGGTCCAAAGATGGAACCCCGTCCTCAGATGTCGACCTTGTGGGGGGATTGAGCCTTGTCCTTTCCGCAACACTCCATGTAGTCCATATTTAACCACATTTATGGGCAAAATGTGGGTACACGGACTGTGTCGGGAGTCAATTCGGGGGAAATCAGCATCCATTTTGGCGCAAAGACTTGCAATGTGGATTGGGTTGGTCAGGGTGGGAGATTATTGAACCATTATGCCTTTTGGCTATTTCAAGACAGTCTCGTTTTGGTGGGTTGGTATTTTCAGCGGACATAGGGCCATTCTGGATGCGACGGTTCCGCTCAGCGGAGACCCTCCCACATTGCCAGTGAACCCACCAGAGAAGTGGTCCCTTTCAAAGAAAATTGCGTCAGTTCCATGTTCTTGAACAAGAAGCAAACGGACTTTGGCCTGTGTTTCCTGCATCGTTGTGGCCTTTTTCATCCTAACCCAGACCGTTTGAGGGATCACCACCCTTTCAGAAACACCCGCTCATGAAAACTCAAGTTTGCATGATGTGTTTGGGGGAACAACCCTTCATTCACGCAGGGCTGCTTGCAACGAGCTCTTTAAAACATCAAGTTGGTTGAACTGTGGTGAACGGTTTCCTGAGATTTCATTGCATTGGGCACCATTTGTTTTTGTTCCCCCTTGCGGCGATCGGATTTTCGGAGCAAATCGAATACCCTCAGTGGGTTCCACCCGAACAACCCTTTAAACACCAATTTGCAGCATGTTAGGTTCCCTACTTTTTCGTGGCTTGCCTGCGATTTACTGGCGCACATGGATTTGAACATCATCTTAATCATTCATTCGGGATTCCTTCTGGGGCAGCTGGGTGTTCAACAGCGGAGCCCCGGTTTAAGGCGTCCAATTTCGTGGGGCTCGTGGGGGGATGTCCGCTATAGGTCAAGCTCCTGCCACAGCAGATGCCGGCCAAACCGGGGCAGCCGGCAGGGGGCCCGGCACTTTAGCTGAAGCCTCTGAAGATCGACGCCTGGACTAAACTGGGTATGGGTCAAAATTAAGCCACCAGGGCCGCAGGTTTTAGTCCATGTTTCTATTTACCAGGGATCCATTTTGGGTACTTTTTTTGACCCACACCCGACTTGCTAGTGCTCAGTAGGGAATGACCCCTTCCGGGTGTTGGGAATGAACCGGATCGGGATTGATTTCCTTAAAGGCAAGCATAGAACATTGTCTTTTTCTGGGTCATTCCAACTCATTCCCAGCTGAGAACGCACCTGAACTTTTCGGAATGTCTTTTGTTGCCGTTGGTCAGGGGTTCTGAGATTCTGCGCCTGAACGTTATCCCCCTACCAAAATGCTGTGGTGTTAAGTGTTGGCGCGGAAAACGTCATGTTCCAAAGGGCCAAAGCGGGTGGTGTTGGTTCAATTCTGGGGGCACCGTCCTCCTTTTTCCACTTCAACCAGCCCGAACAGGGCGCCAGGAAGAATTGGAAATCACATCCATTTGCCGGGGTGAAGGGAACCAGCCCAAGGCCAGGGATCTGGCTCATCCGAGTACCGTGGTACCCAAAAAGGAAGTTTGCTGCTGCCCTGCAGCGATCTTCCCTTCCATTTGCAGCGTCAACTATGGTACCAAAGCTTTGCCCTGAAGCGATCTTGGCTTTTTGCAGGCCATTTGGTCAACATGGCCATTGGCTGGTTGCCTCACCCTCCCCCGGCCATGCGAGTCGTTCCTTCCGAGGCGGAGGCCAGCTGCGAGATCTTCGGGGCCGAGCTGGTGTCCGGCCAGGCGGAAGTTCTCGCCTCGCGGAGCCGAAAAAAGGAAAACCGAGAGTTGCGGAAATTGAGCGACCGGGAAAGAAAGGGGGTGAAGACACGAGGAAAAGGCGTGGCCGTTTTTTGTTTGTTTGTTCCATTTCATTTGGGGACTTGACAATTAAGATGAAGTGTGGCCTGACCCAAGGTTTGTTTCCTCTTGTAATGTAAAATTGCTCGCTCTTTCCGTGGTTTTTGTTGGTGTGTGCTCGCATCGGGGTTTGGGGTAAGCAGTTTTAAGTTTTGTGCATATGCAAGCGATGCAGGTTTTACATAGCTTTCGGGTGGCTAGAAGCCGACCCCGAAGAACCCCCCCCTTTCCCCCGCGCACCCCAATTTGTTGAGGTCTTTGAACGCCCAACACGAAGGGTAGAACTTGTTCGGTTTCTAGCAAAGGCTGGCGGTTGCTTCCTCTAGTTTTTAGACGATGGTTCTCCCTGGTTGCCTTCTGTTTTTGGGGAGGTGGGGCGGGTTTCAAAATATGGGTTTGTTTGTTTGGGAGGTTTGATAGACCATCACCCTTAAAAGGGCAAGTTGAATTGAGAATCTCTTTTGGTTTGCGTTTGGTTCTCGAAACAAGGGAATAGACGATCAAGGGATGGAGGAAGAATCCAAGGTTGACATTAAGGGCAACCCAAGTTGCGGAAGAAGCAACCCCAAAGGGTACCAAACAAAGACAAGGGTGTTTTTTGTTGGAAACCCCAGCTCTCCTTTGACTTTGAACTTGTAAGTGTCTTCATAGCCAAGGCCCAACCGTTCAGCCGCTTTTTGCCAGTCAACTCAGGTCAGCTGTGGAGGTGATGTCGACTGAACATGCGATGAACACCACAATCAGAGCCGCTTCAAATAACAATCTTGCCACAAATAGGTTTGGCCGGACTCCTTGCATACCAGGTTTGATGACTCATTCGGCCCAAGAGTCGCTGCTTGCCCAGCGGACTAAACCAGTCACCATGGACCCCTTCAAGGGCGAACCGGCGGCGAGCAGTGCCGCGCAGATTTGGCGGGAGGCATGGGATCAATTCTGCCTAACTCTGCCGGTGTCAGGTGCAAACTTGCTGCACCGTGGCGGTCGGACATTTTGGTAAAGAGATTCTGGGACCTGTGAGTCTGTCAGGCAGTGTGAATAATGTCTTTGGATTTTCTCTGGTTGGGGGACTCACAGTGGGTATTTCCACCCTGGCATCGCAAGCATTTGGAGCAGGGAATGACTTGGCAGTGGCCGTGGTGCTACAAAGAGCTTTGCTGGTCGCATTGCTTGGCTCTCTGCCCTGTGTCTTGATGTTGGTGTTTATCAAGCCCATCTTGCTTAGCCTTGACATGGACCAGGCCTTTGCCACGGTCGCAGGCAACTATGCTTTTTGTGTCCTGTTGGTGACCCCCTTCCATAGGCATCCAGCGCTCCATTGGCGTGTGGCTGGTGGCGCAAAAAAACAACCACCCCTGGATGTTTGTGATGCTCATGGTGCTGCCGCTGCATGCCATTATGACCGTATACTTCACCTTTTCCACCTCCTTGACTTACCTGGGTGCAGGTGTGGCAACGACCATGGGTACAGCACTTCACGCCTTGCTCATCTATTTGTACATCTCCTGCTCATCCACTTGTGTGGGCACGTGGCGGGGCTTCAGTTCCAATGCCTTCAAAGATTGGGGCCCCTACTTGGAAGTTGCTTTGCCAGGTGTTTGGATGAACACAGAGTATTTTGTTGGAGAATCCTTAACCTTGGCTGCCAGCATGCTAGCCGATCCTGATGTCTCTTTGTCCGCACTGTCCATTTACCAACTGACACAAGTCACCTGCTATCAGATTCCAAGTGGACTTCGAATAGCCATCAGCGGTCGAGTAGGCAATCAACTGGGTGCTGGCCGCCCGGCAGAAGCTGCCATTGCTGCAAAAGCAGGGCTTCGACTCATTCTTCTATGGATCGCAATTCCAGCATTTGTTTTGCTCATGTTCACCCGTCAGTGGGGTCTTCTCTTCACAAGAAACGTCACTCTGCTCCAACTCCTTGAGACACTGGTTCCGCTCATGCTGATCTACAGCAGCCTTGATGCAGTTCAAGCCTACAACAATGGGGTGTTGACATCGTGTGGTCAACAGAACATCAGTGGACGATGGGCCATTCGAGCCTATTTGGGCGTAAGTTTTCCCGTGGCTCTTCTCTTTGCTTTTGCCTTCCACTGGGGCGTTGTTGGACTCTGTGCCGGACACTGCCTTGGGAAGCTCTGCCACGTGGTGCCTTGCATTTTTGCCGTGTGGCGTGTCGACTGGGACACGGAGAGCGAACGGGCCATTGAACGGGTGGAGAAGGATTCCAGTTCCATGACCTCGCTGGTAGGGCAAAACAAACGTTGCGACAGCAACAATTGACGTTGATGAGGGTACGTGTCACAATGGAGGGAACCCCAGAGAGCGGTGTTCCTTCTGAGTTTTCTTTGCAATCACTCAAGAAAGGATACTCTCAAAAACAACACAGACCCAGACAATTTTGTTTACTCAAGTATAGTCCCAGGCTGGCTGCACTGTAGTAAGTGTACTGCTACGGCAAATATTTGAATCAGCTGATCAGCGAATTGGCTCCGCCTATAGCGCTACAGTTCACACCAGATTGATGTGACACTGCGAGAAGCGTGTTTCAGCGCCGAAAGCGCTGAATCCGCAGGACCCATCCGTGACCTGTGCTGATTTTAGATCGCTCCGGAGTGCAGAGTCTGAGCCTTCCTGAAAGGAGCCAAAGCTTCGAGCGAATCTCAAATGGAAACTGAGCCAAAACGAGGGCATGACACCGGGCTTATTGCTGATTGGGCAATGCCCCTTCAGATGGGCAAGTGGTCCCACAATGGGTTGGATAGGTTCCGCTTGGTTTCCTTTTTGGATCGGCCCCCAAGGGGGCAGACAAGAACACCCCACAGATGCCAGGAAAGAAAGGCCCGACAGTGGCCACCTCGACTGGCCCTTGTTGTATGGTTTGGGTTCCCTAACTTCATGCTTTTGGGAAGACCATTTGGGCGTGGGTTGCTTTGAGGGCAGGCTGGCTTAGAGGCAATCCAAAAGGCAAGCCACCATTTTGGGGTCCCGCACTATTTTGACACACACCAATTTTCAGATCCCAAAACTTACTTACTGGACCATTTTGGTGGCAACATGAAAAGTTTGGACTGGTTTGACCACACCCAGGAAGCGAGTTGTCATTTTTTTCTTGGTGGGCGGATGGTTCTTGCCAGCCTGATTCCTTATGCATCAATCACAGGTAATGTTAGTTCCTGGTCTGACAGGGGCGGCTGTTTTCAACTTCTCCGAGCGAGGACTACCCATTGCTGGGCGGCACCCGAACGGCTCTGTTTTCCTGGCACGGCTGCAAGATCCAGGTGGGGATCGGGGGGGGGGGACGCGCTGGGGCAGGGCAGTGGGTCGCTTAGGGATCGCGCAAATGGTTCGCTTAGGTATCGCGCAAATGGGTCGCTCCGGGATCGCGTTTTGAAGAAGGCTTGTCGCGCATGCATGCGTGTTGACATGTCTGCCTCGCGATGTATGTTTATATGCGCGCATGTGTTTGCATGTATGCGCTTGTTTGTGCTTGTTGGCGTGTATGTCTCATGACATATGTGACGTGTATGTCTCATGACATATGTTACTATGTATGCTGGCGAGTCCATGTATGTGGTTGTGTGCATGCGTGTTGACATGCATGCCTTGCGGCGTATGTTCGTAGGCGCGCGTATGTTTGCATGTGTGAGCCTGTGTGTGTGCTTGTTAGCATGCGTAGTATTTTGAAATCCGGTAAAAGAGCAGGCTGGTCTGCAGCAGTTGAGCGGGTGTGCTTATCATCCCCCCCCCCACCCCCACCCCCAGAGCCATGTTACTTTATAATCCGGTAAAAGAGCAGGCTGGTCTGCAGCAGTTGAGCGGGTGTGCTTATCCTGCCCCCCACCCAACCCCCCCCCTCCGTTACTTTGTAATCCGGTAAAAGAGCAGGCTGGTCTGCAGCAGTTGAGCGGGTGTGCTTATCATGCCCCCCCCAGAGCCATGTTACTTTGTAATCCGGTAAAGGAGCAGGCTGGTCTGCAGAAGTTGAGCGGGTGTGCTTATCATGCCCCCCCCCAGAGCCATGTTACTTTGTAATCCGGTAAAGGAGCAGGCTGGTCTGCAGAAGTTGAGCGGGTGTGCTTATCATCCCCCCCACCCAACCCCCCCCCCCCCCAGAACCATGTTATTTTGTAATCCGGTAAAAGTCTGCAGCAGTTGAGCGGGTGTGCTTATCATGCCCCCCCCCCCAACCCCCCCCCAAGCCATGTTACTTTGTAATCCGGTAAAAGAGCAGGCTGGTCTGCAGCAGTTGAGCGGGTGTGCTTATCATCCCCCCCACCCAACCCCCCCCCTCCGTTACTTTGTAATCCGGTAAAAGAGCAGGCTGGTCTGCAGCAGTTGAGCGGGTGTGCTTATCATCCCCCCCACCCAAACCCCCCCCCCCCACGCCCGTGATCAGTGAATGTGATCCCTAAGTGATCCGTGAATGTGATCCTTAAGTGAGTGTGTATCCCTAAGTGACCGTGATCCCTAAGTGAACCGTTTGAGCGATCCCTAAGTGACCACTCTGCCCTGGGGCACTGGGGTTTTCGATTTTATATTTATGTTTTTACATATTAGGGGTGAGAAAATATGAAACAGAGTCTGGGCATGATATTTTGAGATATTTTGAAACTACCCCAGGGCCAAGGTGTGAGGTTGCCAAAAGGGAAAGGGTACAATCGGGTTGTGGATGTTGTTTTATGATTTGGAGGTTCACTTAATATGGACCAGAATTCAAGAAATCAAGAAACAAATTATTTCTTGGGCGAACCCCGACGTAGATATCCCACTTTCAACGGAGTTAGCTCCCCTTGTGGGACTTAAGCGTACCTGACCTGGGTTACTAAGCAAGGACGAGCTGGTCGCTGAAAAGTAGGCACATTCGCTTGAAACAGCGGCTATACACTGAATATATGCTCTGTGGAAAGAGGGAGCCTGTCTAGAAACCAAAACCACCAAGCGGGACGCTAAAAAGATCCCGGTTTTTGAGCCAGAATTTGATGGCCTTGTTCGGTCTTATGTGGCTCTGCCTCGAGACCTCCGTTCGGGGTTCTGTGGGTCGGGTTTTTGGTCCTGGGGTCCAGGCCCCAGACGTGTGGCAACGTGGCAGGTGTCGGGGCCGACAGTTCAGGAGTACGACGCCCCCAACGTGGTGATGCGCGACTACCTGTGCTGCGCGGTGCGGGGGGCTGGTGGGCGGGGTGGTGAGGTTGGTGGGGTGGTGGGGTGGTGGGGTGGTGGGGTGTGGTGGTGGCGGGGTGGTGGGGGTTGGGAGAGGGGAGTATGGGTTGGGGTCGGGGGCTGCAACCTGGGTCTACCATTTGGTGAGGATTGGTGGTAAGATAGATTTTCCATTGCTCACACGTGTCCAAGACTGACGTGACGTCAGTTTTCTGACATGGAAATTGGGAAATGCATGTGGTCTTGGCCGCATGTCAACAAGACGTCAAACTTTGTGCACAGGGCACACCAGAAACCAATTGGTGCCGACGTTACCCAATGAGGCCCGATTTTGTCGATATTCTCGGACTCCATTTGGCTGCATGCCCAGGAGCGGTTCCTTTTGGTTTTCCCCAAAAGCGTCGGCTCTGCTTGCAGGGCGGTTGGTGAAGTTGCTGGAGCGTGTCCAACAAGCCCTCTTGGATTTGGAAGTAAAACTCTTAAACAGCTACACTTAGGACATGAAAGCATGGTTACTTTTCCACCGAACCAAAATCGAGCCTTTTTTGTGTTTGTCTTTTGTGGGGGGCCCTGTGAAAGGACAGATCAAACGCACACCATCTGAGGGCTGCAAATCCTCATTTTGGAGCCAACCCCATCACACCCCGTGCCCGTTTGCTTGTTTTCGCCCTTTCCCAAAGCGGGAATGTCCTCTACGAACCATCCCTTCTGGCTTCCCTTCAGGTCGTCTTTAGGTGGTGATTCCTACTGAGAACCAGCAATGTTTGGGTTTGTGAAGCGAATCCGGAAACACAGACAGACAAACGCGTTCCTGTAAGTGAAAAGGCTGACAATTGGGAAAAGGCAGAAGCAAACAAGGCTCCCTGCGCTGGAACCTCCGCAGTTTGAGCCCTTATTGCAGTGTTTTTGCGCGAAGTTTAGTCCACTTGAGCAAAGCAAGAAGGCAAGCATATGCTGCAGCTTATCTGCTTCGTTCTTTGGGGGCACTTTAATTCCCCTTTCCCGGTGCCCCATTTGCTTTTTGCATTTGAGGTCTCTTTATTTCCTCGCGGACTTTCACGTTGGCCCAGCCCTTGGAAAAGCGAGGCGGTGCTGGAGCAGCGGAGGATCCGCGCGGAGGACCTGGGCCTGCCGGCGCCGCGGGTGCTGGCGCCGGGCTCGGAGGGGTGCAAGTTGGAGCCACCCCAAAAGTGGTGGACGTGAATCCCCGAATTGATGTCAGGGTCGCCCACTACAATTTGCACCCAGAAATGAGGACAAATTACACAAACACATCAGAAAGCCACTGTGGCAGAGGGGTCAGTTGACTCTTCATGCTTTTGGTCTTTGCCCACCCGCGCAAGTGCAGAGCCCACCATGAAAGCTGGGCAGATGCCCATGGGAGACGTGCTGGCCCTGGGGGCAGCCAGCTTGACGACCCACATTAGACCCAAATTTTCTTGCGAGCGAAGTGGCAATGGCGGAACCTTGATTCAGGTGGTTCACACACACACACACAAGAACATTGCTCTCTTAAAATTGCTTAGTTAGGTTCTCAAGTGCACCACTCCATTCTAAGAGATAAAGGCACTTGTAGGGGATCGTTTGGCCAGTCGACTTATGTTGGACATTTGGTCTGAGGTTTGCAGCTGGCCCTTAGATTCCAGTCGCATTCCACGCGTCGAGGTGTGCGGCAGCGCGTTCTCGGGCAAGAGCACGCTTTGCCAGGCGCGATTTCGAGGGGGGGCGAAGGCGCCCAATGGGATCTCCCGAAAAGCCTTCCATCCAGGTCTTGGGTTGCTCATGTTGTTGGGAATCAAAGTATGGACTTGTATGGGGCCAATCTGCTGGAAGTGAGTAACACGGAGCACGGAAACACTCGGTAGAGGAACAGGGAGTGCAAAGAATCTCCGTTTGACTTGGTTTTCTGAGCAGCTTGAGGGAGTATGAGGGCCTGCGCAACCGCGGGTGTTCTGAAACCAACCGCCTGAAGACCCCAAAGACCCTCCGACTAAGGCTATATAGGACCAACTAAGTTCCGGGCAGATTGTTTCGACCTCACAAATGGATTTGGTTTTCGACTTTATCCCATGAAGGTTCCCTGCCTCAGGTCCATTGTGATTCACCAAGTAAGAACACGTAGGGACACAAGAGGGAAGAGAAATGCCCGTTGCTCCTCCCGCCAAACTTGTTCCCACCTGTCACAGGTCTCGCGATGCTTTGCCTCCAGACCCTTTGGGTGTTGTAATCATGTTGACCAGATTTCAAATTGGTATTTCCCAAAGGGCTCGGACGACTGGGTTTCCCAATGTCGGGAGCAACCGCAGCCATTCCCGGGTGAATAAGCCTCGTGAAAGGGTGTTTGGACCCTTCGGGTGGGTGGGTGGGTGGGTGGGTGGGTGGGTGGGTGGGTGGGTGGGTGGGTGGGTGGGTGGGTGGGTGGGTGGGTGGGTGGGTAGGGTCCCTAGTAAAATTCCAATGTTTCACGCGATGGCATGGTTCACTGAAAGGGGGGAGGTGGTCTGTCGGGTAAACACCACTTGGGGGACTTTTTGTCTTCCAAATGGGATCTTCTATTTGCTTAAGACTATTCTTTAATTTTTGCCTGTTGGGTTTCAAGGGAATCTATCACTACTGGACACATGTTTTCTTTTTCTTTTTTTTCCCGAGGCAAATAAAGAGGATGGCCATCCAATCCATGGGTTCGAGCGCGTCGCCAGATCCTCTGCAACTACGCCCTGAGACGGGACCGCTCGCTTCGGCTCGGTTGAGTCATCCTCGTTCTGGCTCTTCATGGCACGTACTCGAGGTGTTTGAGCCCATATAGCTGTAATATGGGGTGGGTTGGTGCAATTACTAACATTTACTCTATGCTTACGATTTGTCTAATTAGCAACTACGTTTAGCCATATGAGGGGCTGAATGAATACTTTGCCCCTATGATCATGACATAATTTGAGCAGCGACCAAAATCCCCCAAAAGGGGAAAATTAAATGGGGCTGTATCAACCTTTACCATGTTGGTACCACAAGCCAAAAGCGGATTTGGGTATGGCTCATGTGGTTTTCTTTCAGTACCGCGCCCTTGGGAAAGCTGGACCAAGGGGTCTTTCGACTGCAAATTTCCTCGGGAGGGTCCAACTTCTTTCTGCGAAAAGGAGATCGGTCAAAAGGCAAACCCCCCCCCCCCTCCGCCTTGGATATCCCCAGCTAAGTCACAGTTCAGTGGAATTTACCCTACCAACATAAATCCCACGGAATGGGGCTATTAACCACTTTCCAAGTGGGGTGCTCATCCAAGTTCGGGACAAAGGGAAAACGAAAGGCAGACACATGGGAGCCGAACCGATGCGTTTGGGGGGCTTGCTGGCCGTCGGGAAGGCACTTTGGGAGCGGACTCTCAAAACGATTTAGGTCTACAACTATTGGGAACCCAGGATCGAAGTAGACTCCTGGTTAATTTTGAGAGATGGGGGTGTCCCCTTTTAGCGGGTTCACACCACTTTTGGGGGGAACGCGCCCCCCCCCTCTTAACAGGCTGGGATCAGCAATCCTGGCTCAACTTTGAACTTCATGCTCGAAGCGGTAGCATGTTGGTATTTTGCTTAGCCCCGCATATTGAGGCCAGGTCAGTATGTTACATGTCGTAAAGCTGACTAAGCATGACTCTGGCAATAACAGGAGTACGTTTGTTGCCAAGGCCAAACACAAAGTCACGTCTAGGAATCCTTCTAAGGGGATCTCTTGATAAAACTCTTGGACCCACCAGCCTCCTCAAAGCCTTAGTAGGGGGGTGAATAGGTTGCCACACTTGCGCGTGGGTTCCCAGCCGTTTCTCTTTCAGTTTGTAAAAGCGTGGTTCCCTTGGTTCCCTATACAGGTAAACGCAACTACTGGATAAATCACCCCCCCGTAATGTGGAGCCATTTGTTTCCAGGAGCACACGCCCATCTTCGTGGACCTGGATACTAGATACTCCAACACGCGCCAGCTGCAGGCGATGGCTTCGTCCGGGAACTCTTTTTCACAAATCTTGGCCCTTTGAGCTGTCCATCTTGTTTATTTTTGCACCACAAAACTGGGTCTGTCGCTTTTTGAGGTCTCCAGTCTGCGGGTCACGGGTGGCTGGGGGTCTCGACGGGCATCGCAGGGCATGCCTGCGTGCGTGACGGCCATGACGGTGGACCACGCAGCGGACGAGGACTGCGGGTGCTTGCCGGGGAGACCGGTGGGTGGGTCTCGAAATGGGAGTTGGAGCCCAAGCATGGGGTGGTTTCCCATGGGATTCCCTTGAGGAGAATTCAAATGTTCTACCCTTAGCGGGAAGAAGCATCCATGAATGGGCTTGGGGGATGTCCCAGACACGATTCAAACTTGTCCCAAGGCGGCAAAGGGACCACCCCGCAACGTGGTTTCTCTTTCCCTGCAACAGGTGGTTTCTCTTTGGTTTTCTTTGTGGTTTCCCTTGCCAGAGCACAAAAGGGATCCCGAGCCTCAAGTTACATTCCGTGGAACTCAGCCCTTCCCCTGACTCTGATCTAGCTCCCTCGCTGACAATAGCGAAGGATTTTGAGCTGCTATGAATCTTTCTGCTGAACGGGGCTTGAGGTTCCATTAAATTGGTATAGCTGTTGCATGGCTGGAGTGAGGTTTCGCTTGCTTGGGTCCAGGGCAACTTTTGACCTTTCTTGAGCATTCTCAGATCACTTGAAGCTGGAAGCTGAGAAGACAAGGTTACCGAAACAAGCAAAGCAGACAGAACGACCGCGCCTTACTTCGAAGGCTTGGGAGTTCCTTTTTGGAAACAGAGTTTCTCAGGATTTGTTTCGGAGGGGCAAACCAGCTTCATTAGGGGGGGTTGCGTTCCTGTGAAGAGATATCAATTCTCACACTTGAATCATCGCCAAAAGGACACGCTGGCATGCAGCAAGGTCGATTCTTTGGCTGCGGCCTCAGGAACCGCTCAGCCGGATGGCCTACTTCTTTGGGCACCTGGATTGGAGCCGGGCGACCCAGGACTACCCAGATTTTGCATGTTGAGTTCGACCAAATGGGGGGTGTCTTGTTTTCGCGGACCCCAAACATGATGTTACCTGCAAAAAAAGACACCCCCAAATGTGAAAGATACTCTTATTGAGGCGGGGTTGGACCAAGCAACAGCCTTGGTTTCCCCACTTTGCTACGGCTCACGCCCGACCCCGGCGGGGCCACACCTGAAGTGAGGCGACAACGCGCGGTGGTACCAGCGGGTCGTGTCCCACCTGAGCCGGGTGGTCTCGGCAAAGCCGGAGCCTGAGCCGGGATGGGACACAGACTTAACTCACTTTTGTTGCACTTTTCCAATTCGGGTGTCCTTCATTTTGTTTGCAACTGGCAACAAATTGACACTATTTGCAATTTGTGGTCGGACCCGTCTGCCTCAACTCAGACGGTCCCAGAGGTAGCTACGTGATTTGTGACCCCAAAAGAATACACTTATTTGCCATTCACCTAGTCGGGCCCAACTTGGATGCTAAGTGAATCATAACCCTCCCCAATGAATATCCTCAAAGAAGGCTCCCTCTTTTTGTTTCTACCGAACTGGTGGGTCACGCGTTGCAACTGGGTAGCTGGCCGCTTGGAGATAGCTAAGCCCGGCCCTTGAGTGATGCCCTTGTGTCAACTGTTTTTGGGAGGGGTCTCCCTTGAGAATCTTTGTTTCCCCCCGAAATCCAAAGCGTAGCCCAGTTAGTGAGGTTGTCCACCGCCACCTCCCGGGAGGCAGTCGGGTCCGATGCCGGGCGTTGGGTCAATGCTTCGCATGACCAGCAGATTTGGGAGTCTCATCTGTTTTTTTGGTTTTTGGAGGGTCCCCTTTTGGTTGGCTTTAAAGGGAAGACAAAAGAAGCTGAGCCATTTTGGGGGTTCCCCTACATTGGGACAAACCCATTTGTTACCGTTTTTGGGTGTTGGGTGACCTTGTTCAACATCAGGTGGCATCCGGGTCCAGCGAAGCGTAGCCCGAGGGACGTCTTTTCGCTCCATCGGTTCTGGTACATTTGTTTTTACCACGTATGGACCAGGACCTTTGGGGCAAAAGTTGAGGTACCCCTGAGGGTGACAGTAGCCCCTATGTTTGTTTGTCGGACATCACAAACTCCATGGTGTCCGCCTCAAGCTGCGTGCACTGGAGGGGAGATGGTCGGTATATGCTGTAAGCACATGTATGCGCTATTTAGCTACAAAGGGGCACATAGCCTAAACTTTTATGCTTTATTTGACCTTAAGTTTAAGGTTTGTCAGCCCTGAACCGTAGGGAGGTGGTCCGTAGAGTCTTCCGCATAACAAAGCGGGTCATGGCTAGTCAGTAGTTAAACTTGCTTCCAACACAGTCGCACAAATTTGTTGCACATCTTGGTTTCAAGTGGCATAGGCGCTCTCATTGCCAGTAACATCGATGACCTATTTCAAGCAAATAGTGGCTTTAGCTCGATGACTTAAACTCGTAAGTCCTAAAGTATATCGAGAGTATTTGGCGAATGGTAGAGTCAATAGTGCAAAGCACCCGAGCTCCCGAAATATGTTTGGGAACTTGTCAAGACCCCAACTCTCCACCCCCCACCCCCAAAGATGGCCCACCCCGCCACCCCGCCAACGGCAAACGAGCTGTACGGCCACCATGAAGGATCCCCGAAGGTTCCTCACTTGGTTCTGGGAAAGTATTTCCTTAGAGACGGTTTAACCCGAATATGTGGCTTTGAGATTTGAAACTCTGTTTCTGCAGCAGGACATTTGAAAACTACCCCAAACCATCAATCCAAACCACCAATCACAGCGAAGACGAGTTTCAACCCATCCAAACTGTGTTCTTGTTTGAACATTTTCTGAAAAGGGTTCCTCCAAAGATTGAAGCCGCCTCTTCTTGACATCGTCACTTTTCACACTGCTTGTTTTTTTCTTTCCCCTCCTTTCGTTTAATCCCCATCGTTTCGACAGGGGGCCCGGACCAGCTCCTCTGGGCTGGTGGTGAACGCGCCCTTCCAGCCGACCCCCGCCGGGCGCTCTCAGCCGAACTTCGAAGGATCTAGGGCGGCTCTCAAGAGGTGTTGGAATGGGGTGAGCCAAGCCTGTCAGAAATTCGCGACTATTGAGTCTTTGAGCCACAGCTAGTGGGGAATGAACATACATATATATATATATATATGTATGCTTCAAAAGGTTAAGCAGGCCCACGTTTTTTGCGTCGACTGATTTCAGGACTGGAGCAGAGGTCTGACAGCTCCGTCCCGAGGCTTTGCTAGAGAAGATCATCGAGATGTTCGAGGCACAGCTCCGGGCCGCGTCAGACTTTGTTGGGGCCCCTCACCAGCGAAAGCGCATGATGAAATCTAGGGATTTCTGATCTCGAAGTATGATAGCTTGCCCACTTGTCTCTTTAACATGCTTCAAACACATCCTACCAAGGCTGGCTCCCCCGCTCATTTTGAGGAAACACCCATGTTCATTTCAGACGATGAATTTTGAGCTAAATCAATACCGTCACAGCAAGGGAAGCAATCAATTCCGCGTTCTCAGTAGCATTGATGGACTTGTTCGCCTCTTTTTCAACCATCCAAAAGTTAGCTCACTATCCAAGTTGATGGGTTGCTGTCAACGAAGTAATCACGTGCCCGTGGCTACTTTCTTCAAATGTGCCGCATTTCACCAGGCTCTTGCACCCTTCAAAGGACTTCCAATGACTATTCCTTTGTAGAATTACACCCGTTAGGCCTTGAAGCTTGTTTGGTGGAAGCCAGGGAAAGAGGGGGTAGCTCGGAGGTCCCATTTTCGGGTTGCACCGAATGAGTCGCTCAGATCGACGTGGTCCTGGTCCTAGACAGCGAGGGCTTGCATGCGGCCCTTTGCAAAATGTCCGGCGCTCGAGGGGCTTTATCGGCATTGACCTTCAGCCGCGCCTTGTATGGCCTCAGGCCCTCGAATTTTCTATGAGTACATGGCCACCAGATGCCAACATAGGTAAATCAACTTGTGATGACCTTCACCAAGTCGGGTTCCTTTCAAAGCCACGCAATTTGAGCGGCGAGATTTGCCCAGCTGATGACCTGAGTTTCTTGTTTTTTTGGCCGTGTGTGTATACGCACAGACACCAGCTGGACCGAAGATCCAAGTCTCTAGCCTGGTCTTCCAAGTGTTCCTGCTACAACTGAGCAGCTCTGACAATCCATCACCAGACCTTGAGCACCTCGGACAATCGAGCTGCGAGCTGGACGTGCTCCGAGCCGTTCCCAACAGATTCCACCTCCTACACTCACAGATAAAGCTTCGGTTCGGTTTTCCGTCACCAGGGTCTTTCCTTTGGACAGCGCCATAGGTGCGTCGAAATGCTGCCTACCCAAACCTGAAGCCCAGGGCCGAAAAACCGTTTGCTTCGCCCCACGTCTCTCCACGTGCCGAGGATTTTTTTTGATTCGGTCGGCCAGCTGCCAGCTGCCCCGGCCGAGGTTTGCTGGGTGCCCGAAGGTGAACGGGGTCCCCAAGGTGGAGGTGGTGCTGCTCCCGAAGGCTCCAAGTGCAGACTCCCGGGGGGGTTCCGAAGCCCCACCCCGACTTGCGCCGTCGAGGTCTTTGTTTGGGGCTCTTAATACTTTTTGAGGTCTTTGTTTGGGGTCTTTATTTGTTGGCTTTTTTAGGGGAGGAACAAAAGAAGGTGTTAATTGCCGCGGGCGCTTTTTCCCGTTGGCGGGAGGCAGCCGCTGAAAAACTGGGTTGCTCGAAATCAATCCGCAAGATCCTCATGCCAGGCGGTCGTGGTTTCGGGCGTCGTAGGTTTCCAACTACATATTACAGATTAGGAGTAGGGATCCCAATCCAAATAGAGATAGAGATAGAGAGATAGAGAGAGAGAGAGACAGAGAGATAGAGAGAGATAGAGAGATAGAGACAGAGAGAGAGATAGAGACAGAGAGAGAGAGATAGAGAGATAGAGAGATAGAGAGATAGAGAGATACAGAGATAGAGAGAGATATAGAGATAGAGAGATAGAGAGATAGAGACAGATAGAGAGATAGAGAGACAGAGAGATACAGAGATAGAGAGATAGAGAGACATAGAGAGATAGAGAGACATAGAGAAACAGAGAAATAGAGAGATGGAGAGAGAGGGGTTGAGTTCGGATGCCATGACCCAGCAGTCTTCAGTAGACGAATAGCCGCCGATTCACTGCCTTTTTCGGCCCCAAAGGACCTATCTTCAAAAGGCGGCGCGCATCCTACAGACTCAAGAAGTAGCATTTGACATGACATTTGCCCTCCACGCCGGAAGAAAAACATATTCCTCCCCACGGCAAGCCATGAAATTGACGCCCTCGAATCACCCTGAGGCCTTCCCAAAGTCGGCTCAAGGGTGTGGCTCAAAAGCAGGTAAATGGAAACGTAGACAAGTGCCTGGCCCCTCCCCTTGTTTGAGCCACCAGGGTCCATGCTTCGGGTTTACCACAGGCGGGTAACAAGGGCTTTCCATCTAGGCTTTGCAAGATAGGTTCGCTGGCTTTTGGTCACATACAGGGAAGCATTGGCAGAGCCAAACAAGCCAAATACAGCCCAATAAATCTTGGCAGGGAGGGTTCTCGAGTATTTTTTCGGTCTGCGGGGTGGGGGTGGTTGTAGAGTAGGTGTGGAGCTGGGCATTTATCAAGCCTAGTTTTGGCTGCTTTTTTGGCCCCTCCTCCTCGGGAAAGGTGTGTTTAGCGCCTCCTCTTTTTGCCTCTCCTCCTTACTAACCCTTGTTGTAGCCATTCTTTGTTCCAAGGGAAAGCAAAACAAGATGCATCACGGTATCATGTGTTGCAGCTCCAAAAGCGATGCAATCTTGAACTCAAAATGCTAGGTGCTCTCAATGCTCGCATTTTGCAATTCTCAAGCCGCTTCAACTAAACGCTGGCTGTCTTGAAAAGTCAGAGCACAGCTCTCTTGATGCTTGATGATGATGTGGTCGAAGCGCGGGGCGGTGCTGACGGTGCCCAGAGAAATCCAGAGAAAGGTGTCCCAGAAAAAAGTACAATAGAATTATGGCAAACACTATTTTATTTGTTACTTGAAGCCTTTTAGACATTATTTTGTATGTTAAACTGTGTTGTGGGGGTTGTGGGGGGTGCTGTTCTATTGGTGCAATGGTGGGCTCACGGGATACATCTGAACGGAGGCAAGCTTCTTGGTAGGTCTATGGAGGGGGTTCATGGCCTTACTCACCTTGTTCATGCTGGGCTTATCCGAGCAAAGACCCAAGGCCCCATGATTTTGCAAGTCCTTGTAGCTTAGGCTACTTACCATTTGGCTCAAGCACAAGCACCAGGCTCACGCCAAGACATAGAACCATGAACCGCCTTTGCCTTGTGCTGCTCGCGTACGCGGCCTCCGGGCATGCTCAACCGCTTGCAAACATCACGAACCTGACCCAGAGCGGAAATGCGTCCAAGTCACTGCGTGGCGATACGAAGGCCAAGGTGTACGGCGGCTTCCCCTGGACTGGCGGCTTTGGCTCCGGCTCTCCTGGCACCGGCAGCTTTCCTGGCACCGGTGGTGCTAGCGGCAGTGGCAGCAGCTGGGGCTGGGGCCACGGAGTGTCAGGCGAGACCTGCTGCATGTGTACCCGCCTGAACAACGGCAAGACGTGGCTGTACGCTGCCGGAGATTACAGCCATGCCTACGGCTCACAGACTGCCCACCAACATTGCAATCAGGTTTGCTCGCTGCAGTGCCAGTTCAAGGCCGGCCACAAGTTCGGGTGCTTCGAGGAACAGCAGTTGCAGATGCTAAGCCAGCAGTATTCAAGCCAGAACGACTTCTACATCCTGCACGAGGACCACTTTGGGAGCCTTTGCTAGGTCTTGGGCGGCAGTCATTTGCTGGTGTGGGAGAACCGCCGATTTGGGATGCTACAGTTGCATCCTGGTATTCTGGCGGACTTTTGTGATTGACACGTACAGCGCATTTAAGGTCTGCGTTTCTTAGTGCAAACCACGCTTTGTAGATAATTTTCGACGTGCCCACAGTATCCCGACAGATTGTGGGGTTCCGAAGCACAGCGAGGGCTCACAAAAGGGGCAGCAGGGTTCATCCCAAGGCGTTGAACCCATAGCAGGCACTGGGTTCAGTCTGTTTGGTCCATGGGAGCAGCTGTTTGTTTAGCAACTTTTAGACTGAACGTGACGCCCATGGACCAGCCACCCCTGAGTTCTTCCATGTTCAGCCGCTACAGACCGAACATGACGCCGACCCCATGGACCAAACACGCCCCGCGCGGACGGGCGAGGCCGGCGGAGTGGTGCAGGCCGCCCAGAAGCGGGTCCGGTACCTCCGGGCCTGGGCTCCCGGGGTTTGCCGCGCGCCGGGAGGGATGGGGGATCCGGAAGCTTACTCTTCAATGGAAGCGGAAAGCCCTCCACTCAGCTTTCATGAGTCTTGGGGAGGGTAGGTAGGTACTTGCCCACTCAGGTTGCTGGTATGAGGAAACCAAGGGCTGTTTCCCAAAAGCCAGAAACAACTTGGTGAGAGGTTGTGGCTGGCCTGGGATCCATCAACGGCTTTGGGAAATGGATTGCCTACATGGGAGATGTACGGCATATCTTTTTTAACAGGGGTTGCAAAGTCTGCCACCGGAAGTTGGTTGGACTTTGGGCGCTTTGATATCAAGAACCCGCCCCTCCCCCGGCGCTTGTGAAGACTTAGTCACTGGGTCGCCCTTCCTCGCAGCATGCTGCCCCCTTCGAGGGGAGCCCAGGTTGGAAGCCCTCCCAAGAAAGAACAGGAAGGGCGATTTGGGTTTTTGGAAGGGTTGTGGGTTGCATGTTTTCCCTTATTTGTCGCTAGGGGCAGCTCGCAGACCCGACCACCCCTTGACACGGGTTGCAAGGTCCCTGGCAGCCCCTTTTAACTGGTCGGTGACTCCGCGGTTTCATTCGAGACGTTTGGAGTGGAGTGAGCATACATCTTGTATGTCAAAAGTGGCTGAAAGTGAAGCAACCAAACGCCAATCAGCTCAAATGCGTACCTTGAATGCGTAGACAGAAATCATGACAAGGTTGCTCCAAACCTCAAAACAATGACCCGACCACAAGGGTAGAAGCTCGGCAAAGGTGGTCCTCTGCTTTTCCTGGGACCAACTTTCACACGTGTCTTCGAGGCCCTGAGAGTCCGCGATTACTTCTACGGCGCCCCGGCCTCGGCGTGAATGAAAAACGGCGGCAAGGTCGTCCGGCTGGCCTTCGGTTTTTTGTTTCCGAGTTCTTTCCGCCGGGGGGGAGGGAGGGGGGGGGTTGGTCCAGAATGTTACGGTGGCTTGTGAAGGTTTCAAGCAGCTTGTGGTTATTTTTTCCGCTTCAAACAACCCCTAAGGGCGGTGCTCTAACTTTAAGGTACCTTGGGAAGGCTTCAAACCACCCCGAAAGAGTTTCTCCCTCTCGGAAAAATGGAGCTTGGGATGATGGCACTGGCGACCGGCTCATCTACGGCGACACAAACCAGCGCCCTGTTCATCACAGCCAACCCGGACGGCGGGCATGCGTCCTCAAGGAGCAGGTGAAGAGGGCCTGTGGAAGATACGTCACCTCGCATTCAAGAACCTGGCGGTGGACTTCCTCACCAAGGCAGTGTTTCGCCGGTGAAGGCAACTTCTTGCAATTGTGGCGACTTTTGAGCCCCTCGGCAGAGGTGTACTTGGGGGCTTGTAGGGTCGCCAGAATTTTCACAATGGGTTGGTACTGAGGGACCAAGGGGTATGGAAAAGGTGTATGTACCGCTAAGGCCAAAAGTCAACCAAAATCAATTCTAAACTCTGGGAGTTGTTTTAGACTTTGTGCCACCTAAATCCTGCGACTGAATTTCATAGACTGACCTGTTGAGCTGGGAAATGTGTTCAGCTTTTCGTTGGCGGGTTCCTCGCAAGTTCAAAGATCTGGCCAATAGACTCGGCTTAGGGCTGTGGGATTGCCACTCGACTTTGCCCCAGACCTTCAGTGTCGTTTGGTTTTAGGGTGGGCAAAATGCGCCTAAACAAACAGGATTTCAGTCTCTAAAAGGCGGAAACTTATGTATCTGAGTAGGATCCAACCCAGGAATACCATACTTTTTGAAAAGATGCGCAAGAAATGCAAAGCTGCGGTCACTGCAAAGTCAAACTATCGCACAGGCAACGAAGAGCAACTAGGCGTGCATTTGTGTTTCGTTTTTTGTTGCATGACATGACAGTGTGTGCAGATGGCCAAGCAAGATAAGCGGAAACTAACGAGGATGTTTGAGCAACAAGGTGGCTAAAGGAGGACACAATCACTGCTAGCACATCCCGCACAGCCAATACCTACTGTTGCAGGGCGTGATAGCGTACCATGCCAAAGCAGGTGTTTCATACAGCAACTGAAAAAGGTGGGAGGTGAGAGGGCATGTTTGCTCGGCTGGTCGGCATGAGCTCACGAGATCCTAAGGTCATGAGAGACTTCAGCCCCTTCTCGGTGCTGGTGGACCTGGCCGACGTGTGGATGCCCGGACTAAGACGAACCCACAAAAAAAAGCCAAAAAACACATGGCTTGGTGGCTCCCAGCCGTGCGGTTCCTTAGCTTTAGGATTTTAGTTGGTTTGGTGGTTGGGTTAAGTTAAACTTTGAGCAGGGGATCTGAGGACAGCCCAGATAGGCCATTCAGAAAGGAACCAACCTGAAAAGGCTGCCCTCATAAGAAACACAAACCCACATGAAGTCAAGTTTGAAGACGGCATTCGTTTTTATTTCAGGAAGCAGGCGCAGAACAACACACAACCAAGGTACCAACTCGCAAAGAAAGGCGCATGCCCCTCTGCCAGTTTCCAAGCCATGGCGGAACAGTGTTCTTGTGTCCCAGTGCTTCCCATGACCATATAGGCAATTGACCAGACAAACAATTATATAAGTCTGGCCAAGGTTTCTTTGGTTACTTACTTGCTTTGTGTATTGGCTTGCCTCAGGAGGCCGTCCAGACTCCAGACTGAAGTGAAGTGGGGTCCGCGACTTGCTTCAGCGCATCCCCTTCTTCCCTGATTCGGTTTGAACCCACTGCACGGAGCTTGCCCACGCTTCAAGTGCCAAGAGCGTGGCAAAAAGTACGTTCAGTAGCTTGGATCCGCCCGGTTCAGGTAGACCACCGGCAAGTCCGCGGAGGTCGCCTTTTCGTTGGTTATAGTGGAAGATGCCACCCAAACCGCCGTTTTGTAGAGGAGTCTCCTGGGAATCGGGCTCCTTTTTGGCAGTCATGTTTTTTGTAGGAGTAGCCCAATCAACCTCCGAGTATTAAGAAGCTTTTGCCAGGCAAGAACTTGAGCCCAACCGAACCTAGGCTTAAAACGCGGGAGTAGCGTCAAACCATCAGAGGTTCAAGCTAGAGGAAACCATCCATGGTAGAGCCTAAAGGCAAAAAGAGCCCAGTTAAACTCTGCTCCAACAGGGGTCCTTAAAAGATACATTTTGCCCATTTGAAACATGGCTTTTTCCACCAAAATAAAAGGAAACCACCATTTACAAGGCAATGTTCAGGTGTATAATGTAAGGATCCCTGTCCAATTCGTGGCAGCAGCTGGTTGTGTTGCTTGGGGATCTCCCCGTCCACCGAGAATCGGACTCGTTTGCGACTGGCGGGGAACCGGAGAGCTCCGAGGTGCAGCTGGTGCAGGTGGAGGCGCAGACGTTGACCGCCTCCATGCTGCCCCTGGGCCAGGAGCGATGTGAGCGCCCAAAGCCCTCCTTGGCCACCTTTGGACGGTTCTACTATCTGGTTGACAGGGGGCTACGGTTGGCTATTTTGGATGTCTACCTAGTTTATAGGGGGTTAAAGAATGGGCAATTATATCTGGTCTATATGGGGGTATAGTAAGGCCAATGATGTCCCTTCGGTTTAGTTTGGAAGCAACACCTGAAGAAGGTATCAAAAAGGGATTGGGTTCCCTGAAATGGTTGTTTTCCTTTTGGATTCCCTACCAACTGGGGATCCACCATTTTGAGAAACGCCTCAAAAGCAAGTCAGTATGGGAGACCCTGGTTTCTCCATGTAAAGCCCACCCTGAGGGTACTCCGAACATCTATGTTGGTTTGGCCAAATGGAGAAATGGACAAGGGTTTGCTGGTGAAAAGGGAACTGGTCGGTGTCGGTCGTTGATGGTCTCTTGGTTTCTTGCGGTGACCTTGTCGGACGTTCGTACGCCTCTGCCATGAAACCTAGTGATTCCAGTTCAATAGGACACCCTTCACCAGATTCTTTTTGTTGGAAGGGTGGGAAACCCTTGATTACCTACCATGTAGGGAGCTTGGCAACTGGAATTGGGCTTGGTACGGGTTTCTCATACCTCACTTCCCATTTGGGTTCTCTTCAATCGTCCCGTTTTGGCTGATTGTCAGGGGTTGAGCCCAGGCAGGGTCACCCAACTTTTGGGCGACATATTTTTTCCAATGTTTCCGGGGAGTGCATTCCGTCCCCTTCAAACTCGACCAACCCCCGAAAACCTGAGGCGTTCCTTATTTTCTTGCTCATCCAGATTCTAGACGTTGCACTTTTTTGGGAAGACCATTTATGTGGTAGGCAAGGAGTTGAAACCTTTTAGGCCAATCCATTCGAGTGGCCTGTCTCAGCATCAATCATCTTAGTAGACGCAAAAGTCACACAGTCAAAGTTGTTTGGGATCTGCTCAATTTGTCAAGCTTCTTTCGTAGCATACAAAGCTCTGGTACTCGTCACTATGTTTATTTCCATGTGAAAGTTAACGCATCGTCGTATAATCCCTACCGCTTGCAGTTAACAGTACGCTAGGTGAGCAAGGAAACCAAAATGTAAAGTCTAGAGGGAGGAACTCCTAGTTTATCAACTTTCGTGGCTTGTGAAAGCATTAGGATAGTTCACGCCAGCTTAGCTTGACCAACGTCGGGCACCCGTTTGGCGGCAAACACCGAGCGGATACCCATGTCCAGAGTCCAAGTCCCATGCTTCCCAGGAGGCTCAGAAGTCCGAAGACTTCGTGGCCGGAATGCCCGGAGAAGCTATGAGGTCTTCTCCAAACATATTGTCACAACACGAGGCCTCACTTGTTTCAATCTTTTGGTTTCCCTGATTTGCTCAATTTTTAGTAGAGGTGCCAACAGGTGAACCTTTTGTGTCTGGGTCCTTTGGGCAAGGGAGAAGCAGAATCCGCAAGTATCATGTTCTGTTCTGCGTAATCCCAGATGTTGGCCAAATGAGCTGCGGACAACGTGTTGATGGGGCAATTATGCAATTCAACCATGGCCTACCCACAGCTCCAGCGGTGTCCTTTGCATTTCTGGTGGGCCAACATGGTTCGCTCTCACTGACCAGTTTCTGGAGCCCGTTCCCCGAATTTTCTGCCTGGGTTGAGCCTTTTCTTCAAGCGAAAGGTAAGCTACTGGGAGGTGACCCAACCCCGAAAACCCCCCCAAACGCCTCTTCTAAAATCATTGAGCATTGAGCCCTCATGAGGCCTTAGTTGGTTCTGTTTGGCATGAAGAAGCCCTATCAAGCCCGGTTTTGTTTGTTTTCGGTGGGTGGGCAGATGGTAGGGTTCCAACCAATGCATGAGCAACTGACAAAATTATCGGCAGTCTACCTGTTGGTTCGGGGAGGAGGTGGTCAGACCACCCAATTTTTGACAAAAGCCCAGACAAGCAACTGGTCCCATGTCCTCTTGGGGCACATGTCATGTCCGTGACATCACAGGCTAATTTGGGCCGGCCGTTGGGTCCATGCAACTCCCTCACTCGCTTTGCGCTTGGCTCAACTGCAGACGCGAAATCGTGAAAGCGTACAGTAGGCGTACTCAGGGGGTCCCCAAGGGAACTGCCCTGGAAATTGAGTTGTCAACCCGAATCAATTTTTCCACCAACCCAGGTATTCCAGTTGCCTGTTGCAGGTAACTCAGGACCCAGCCTTCAAAACCAAAAGGCCATGGGCGAAGTGGCGCGAAGCGTATGGTGGTAAATGGGATCGAACAGGCGCAATGCCTGATGCTACCGCAAGAAGCCAATAGGGGACCATCGAAGACCGATACGGCACCAGTTAGATTAGCTCATATCCTTGCATGTGCACTTGATTTGTTCGGTATCTCCCGAGCTTTTTTTTGGGGGGAAGGCCGTACTTCAAGCACTTTGCTCTTAGGCATATGTTGAAAGGTCAGGTTTTCCCTTGGGTAAATGTATCTCTTTGTCCTTGCTTTCGGTCCGGCGGTCAAGGAGTCAAGGCTTGCCATTGACCCAAAAGGGTATACAGACGTTCGGAGGAAGTGCCTAACAATTTAGTACCACCAGGCCGTCCACCTCAAAAGTAGAGCCCAGCGACTAGCACCCCCCACAGCCCGGTCCTTGGGCCATGGCGCTGGACACCCGGGACCCATACCGGAGGAAGGACCCATGCCGACAGGAGCTGGGACACAAGGCGCGGGAAAGGGACGGAGAAGATTAGAATCAGCGCGCCTTTATTTTTTTAGTGGCGAGCGTGTTACACGTAAGATCACCACTCCCTTTGAAATGGGGATGGAACTCTGAATTCGGGTTTTGGAACTACCACACCATGACGGAAAGCGACGTTTAGGTCGATAGACGTTGGCGCAGGTCCGGAAAGCGACTTTTAGGTCGATAGACGTTGGGGCAGTCCGGAGTATTTTTGGTTGAGGTCTGATTCGCGAGCGCATGTTGCAAGTAATGCAGGGAGTGCTGGAGACGCTGGCCGGGGATGTTAGAGATGCTGGAGATGCTGGCTGGTGATGCCAGGGATGCTTGCTGGTGATTGGAAAGGAGCTCCAGTGTAGTTTAAGATTATATTTTTAAACTGAAATTCAGGATTAGATCGTTCGTTATTGAATTCTGTTTGACTTCACTTAAACATCGAGTAGAAGTTGATAAAGATGTTTCAGAGGTCCAAACGTTCTGTTTTAACCTAGCCCCAAGCACTACCATGGTCAGAAATCGTCGTAAAACACGGTGTTCTGTGGCGGTTCTCGCACATTTTCGCCAACGTGCAAAAAAAGACATGGAAGGAATTGAATATCCAGGCGTTTCGCCACGTATCCTATTCACTTCCAACCATCCTCCCGCAGCAGGCAACCAGGAAAAACCATCCATGGGAACACTCGGCAAGAAACCATCGAGGCATGTGGAAGCGCTGGGCTTTGGGGGCCTGAAACGGCGAAGCGAATTCGCTTCGCTTCACTCGGAGACAGAGAGGGACTGGCCAGGAGCAGCAGAGGAGGGAGCACATCATCTTCCGGTCTTTTCTCACTGGTCGCTTGGCAGAGGTTTCAAGAGTCGGAGAAAAACAGGTGGGTTCCTTTGCCGGTTGTCGGAATCACAAAGGCTTTGGGAACAGGATTTGAAAAAAGAAAAAACCACAAGTTTCGGGGCCCCAACGCATTTCCCGCGGCAGCACGTGGCTGGCCGCTTTTTTTCCACCAACGTTCCGGGGGGGATGGGTTGGCTGGCCGGGTTGGTCCCTCCGCGACCTTCGACCTTCGGCTTGCGGCTCGGGTCAGAGACGCGCAGGCGAGGAGAAGAAGGGCTCCTTGATGGCGCCGGTGCAGCGGCGCCCGGGGCTGCGCCAGGCGAGCGACGCGACGCGTGAACCATGGACCTGACCACTGGGAGGGCCAGTGGGTGTAGGCCCCAGGTCCTTGGTTTTGTTGCTTTTGGAGGGGGTGGGTTCGGGGTTGGTGTGTATCTGGGGTGAGCTGCACAGGTTGGCATTGAATCGACGCCAAGCTGGTAGACAAATTGGTCTTGTGCCCCGCCAAAAAATTCGGACTGAAAGCGGCTTGGAGTGGCGGGCTTCCCACTGGCCCCCGATCGGGTCGATTGTTCTTTTAGGAGTTCAATCCTCATGCTTGTTCAGCTCCCTTTCGGATTGCTTCCACTTACCACGAAAGCGCAGTCTTTTTGTTTAATCCCTAGATTTTGCATGATGGTTCCCCTGGGCACTGGATATCTAGGGTAATGGCTTTCTGGAGGCACCTGGTACCCATGTACTTCGACGACGGCCCATTTGATAAGTGCGGACGAGCCTGCTAAGTGGGATTTGCAGTACACAGATCCCGCGGAATCCAACGGAATGGGGACTTGGGCGGGGATATAAACCAATTCCGAAGTGGGGCGGTCTATGCATCAGTGGCCTTGCCTGTGGCTTCGGATATTGCACCAGGCATTGCAAGTGGTTGACCAAACCGATGCCACCCAAAGGCTCCTGATTGCCCGGGGTCAGACTTTTTTTCGAGGGCCCAGCGACTGGGCTTTCACTCGCCGCGTGTTCCAGGCCGGAAGCGCTGGATTCGGCTGCCTCGCGAAGGGCAGCGAGGTGCAGCTGGAGAACTTGAGCCGCCGGGAGCTGAACGGGCTCAAGGGCACCGTGGTCACCGATCCTTTGCGGACTTGGGAGGGAGGGAAGCAGGTCCCGGATCTGATGCAAGACCAAAGGACACCCACCCCTTCAAGGGGCGCCCTGTCGCCCTTTGGCTCCAAACCAACGGGAAGCACTGAGGTTGTCTCAACTAGGCAAACCCAAAAATGCGGATTTGTCTCTTGGTTTCCCTTTACAAACCATCCAGAGATGGTAGCCTTCGTCTCAATAAGACGAGCCACCCGAGGACAAGCCCGACGAGTTCGGTCGAATCTATGTGGACATCGGGGGTGGGAAGAGCTTTCGAGTGCTGAAGATCTCTCCGGATCGGCTGAAGAGAGCAGGACGGGACCCAGAAATTCGGAAATCCACTGCAGTTTCTTACGCCCCATGCAGACAAGGGGACACTCCTGTCCGTACAATCCCGGCCAATGCTTCCGGATCACAGATGCATGATGGTCAGCGATCCGAACAGTTGCTGCGTCTTATCAATCAGTCGCAAGCTGAAGAGTTTCCCTTCGCACCTAGCAAACATGGACTTTTTCTGCAGGGGGTCTAACTCTTCTCTTCAGACACGTGGGGGAAAATAGATTCTTTCTGAAGAGAACGATTCCGGTTACCTGTAAAGCCCACTGCCTCCACGTACCACTACAGTAGGTACCCAGTTTTCTTTTTCCTCTAGGTTTCTACGGTGGGAACCGGAAGCACTTGGGTGGGTATCCATGGTCGGGACTAGAAGGAACATGGCTGGTTACTTATGATAGGAACTGAGATTCACTGGGCAACGGCAGAGTTCTGGCGGTGTTGTTTGTTTCCCTTTGGGCGCCTTGTTAAAGGGAAATCAAATGGAAAGGCAGCCATTTGGATGGTCCCCCACTTTGAGACAACCCCAATCTATGGATAGGCTCCGGCCCCTTTGCTTGCGCTTCCTCCCTCCCCCCCCCCTCAATTTTCTGCTGTACATGTTGAAGCCGCTTCTCCAAACATCTCTCCCCTTTAGTACAGGATCAACATCATACCCGAGAAATGGGATACTCGGGTCGACAATAAAGACACGTAGCTGTATCTCTATATACATACATATCCTTCATGCTATGACAAATCGTATGCATTTTCTTGGAAGCAATCACTACTTGCCCAGTTCATACATCAACCTCGTCAGCTGCTCCTCGGTGCCCATCACTGGTCAGTCCCCGCCCCCCCATTCCCCGGCGTCCGGGCCCCCGGCCGTCCGGCGCAGGGGAGTCGGAGACGCGGCCGGCGTGGATGCCGGCGGGGCGCCAGGGATTGGAGGAGATGGGCGCCAGCCACTGGTCCGCCTCCGGCATCCGCACGGGCTTTCCAGGAGCCGGCCAAAAAAAAACATCCAGAAAGGCGAGCGAAACCAAAAGGCACATGTTGGCCGGGGTGTGGTTTTTTTGTGCATGGTATTTGGGAGGGTGGTTTTCATGAGATTTGGAAGAAAGGGGGTGGTTTTCCTCCATGGTATTTGCTCTGGTGGCTTGAAAACATTTCCTAAAGAGGAGGCCCCTTGACAAATCCTAGACACCACTTGGGATACCTCAGACCTCTACTCCTGAGTTTCGTTTGGCTCGGCCCAGTGTCTCCTTCGCAGGCTTTGGGATCCTGCAGTCCAAGCAGTGGCAATCCACGCCGGAGCTGCGGGAGAAGCTGCTTGACATCTTTTTTCGTCGGGAGGTGGCCTCTTCCTCCGGTTGGTGTGTGGTGTCTGCTGTACAGGGCATACACTCGGTTGCCAACGGGAAATGGCGGTTGCTGGCAAAATTTGCGTGTCAACCTGGGACTTGATGAGTCATGACCATGAGGGGCCCTTTGTCGGGTGCCGTGTTTGGAGGGCTAAAGGGGGACTCTGACACCCCCTCCTCCCCAGAAGACCTCCATCGAGCCTCATTGAACGCAAGAAGGCCAGGTCAGGATCACGAACCCCAACCGTTCAGGACTTGCAGTATTTGGCCTGATGTTGGCCTTGATCAGGCTCATGATCCCCTTTGTTAGGTGTGCATGCAGGGTCCCTTGAAAACTTTCGGCTTGTCCCGGCAGCTTTGTTCACGTGGGAGCTGTCGTTTGTGTGTCAGTAGTGTTCAGCTTCTCAATCAGCTTGGGCAAGGTAACCAAGCACGTTTCGCTGGCTTCCCTTTCTTACCTATACTATGATGGTAACTGGAAGCACCGGACCTGCCTCCAGCACTAGTGCTTTGTTGGCTGTATTTGGCCTTAGTTTGGGCGCCTTACAGCTGGGGAGTCCCGGATTGACTTACCCACAAGAGGATTTTGCCATCTGCCAACTCCTCAACTCTCAGCCTACTGCAACTCCTTTTTTCCCGGCCGCTCGACTTTCAGTGGCCAGGCACCACCAGCTCTCCCGGGTGTCCCACCGCTCCTACGTGAGGACCGCAGGGGGCCTACGGCGGATCCTCGGGGGTTGGGGCGGGATGTTTTGCCTAGCGGTCTTTTTACGTGGAGATTTGAACCCCGGGTTCTTGTAGAGGGTAGTAAATGGGCAACCCCTCCTTGACCACCAAACCACCAATCCAAACCACCAATTACAGGGAAACTGAATCATTGCTGCCTGGCTACCTACTCGAAGTGGAAGCAAAGGGCTACCTTGAAGATGGTAGTCCGACTTGTCAATGTGAGTTTGAATCCGTCCACAATATCATGGTAAACCACTTTGGTTGAGACATTCGCAGAAGTAGACAACTTCCTTGGATATGAGGATGCTTTGCAGGACCTGTTTCTGCCAGCGGCCCCAGCAAAGCTTAGGTCTGCGGCGGCTTCATGCCGGAGCCCTCCGCGGAGAGTGTCTGAGCTGCGGTAGGGGGAGCCTCACGCGAGTCAGTGGGCTCGAAGTTTTTTGCGGCCTGGGCCTGTTTTTATCCTGTGCCCAGCTCGGGGAAGTGCCAACCCCGGGAGAAGAGGCGGTTTCCTGGTCAAGCCACAAAAAGAGCACTTGCCCCCCCCCGCTGCCAAGAAAGGCAATGAAAGCATAGATGGAGGCAATGAAAGCATAGCTGGAGTCTCTAGAACCTTGGTAATGTAGTACCAATTTTAGGGTCAGGAGTCAGGACCTCGAAAGGGTACTGGAAGCGAGATCCACCCCCAAGGGGTCGAATTTGCGCGAATGCGGCTCTCAAAGCAGAGCCCAAAGCTCGACGAAAGGCCGAGAAAAGAAGGGGAAGTGAAGGGTGAACCCCCAAACCAGTGCTTTCAGTTTCCACTGCAACAACCAACTGGGGTTCCTTACCTCTGGGTTTTTTGCCGTGGATGTGGTCGTTTGGTTGCGGCGAAGCGCCTGGAGGCACTGCGCTTTTGACAAACGCCGCGCGCTGTCAGGTTCGAAGCTTCACGGGCCAAGCCTCGCAGCTGGAGCACGCCCTGCTGGCGGTGGCGCCGCGCTCAGCTGGGAGACGGTCGGCTCACGGCTCGCGCCGAACTTTGACTGGGGTCGTCAGTCTGATTGTTTCTAGGGATTGTCAAGGTCGGAAATTGGGGTTGTTTTCCTTCAACCGACCAGTTACGGGGTGACTTTGATCATGGTAAGTTCATGAGGCCAGTTTGGACTGCCAGATTGCCAGACTTTAGCTGACCTTTTTGGCCTCTGTTGGGGTTCCTTCATTTTCCCCTTCCAGCAGAAAAGGTTTGGACTCTTTGCTTGGGCTCTAAGTCTGGCCCAGGTAGTGGCGTTTAGTCGAGGGTGAAAGTAAAGCAGGGCAGGATAAAAGTAGGGGGAAAAAATAAGTTTTTGAAAGTCGATGGCGAAGCAGTTCCAACCCATTTTGCTTTTATTCCCTTTAATTTGCCCCAGAGTATATAAAGGGCGCCTGGCGTAATTTGCTTTGACTCTGACTTTTTTTCTCACAGGCTTCCTCTCAGGGGAACCCTCACAATGGATCCCCTTTAGTACGTGTCAGTGCACCATGTGCAGACGTAGCTTCCCTTCTCAAGTGTTTGCTTTTTGCAACCAGTAAAAAGACAACTTCTTGCGGGTCTTGCCCAGACGAAGGCCAAAATCGATTTCGCTACCGTAGTGCACTAGAATTCTTTGGGCCGGAGTTTTGGAGCGTGTTACAGCTTACTGACTGTCCCTTTGGGAGGGCACGGGACCCTCTTGTTAATTATGTTCCAGCTGAATTTGCTGAGTCAGGGCTTCCCAAAATCAACCTCCAAAGTCGGTCAGGTGGGAGTATGATATCGTACCTGCTGAGCTTGACAAAATGAACAGGGGAACATGATGAGAGCTATGTATGTGTGGCCGCGTGGCCTTGGCTAGAATTGGAGTTGGCAAGCTTGAAGCCTGATGTCTTGTAGGTGTCTTCATCGTTTTGGTCAAACAAGATTTGCCGCTTCCTGGGTTTGGCCTCTGCAATCAACCATTTCAGTTACGCAGCGGCTCATGGGGATCAACCCTTGCTTTTCTTAACTTCGCCTCATGTTTGCCCATTTGGAGGCAATGGCTTGGAGGTCAGAGAACCGACCATCCATGTGGAGGTTGCTACTTCCTGCGATCCCAGGGGAACACTCTTTAAAGTGATATAGGAGTCAGACATGGAGACAGTCCTGCAACCACTTTGGTGTCACATGGTGTCACAATCAAAACCCGGGTAATTGGGGGGGTAATTACCCGGTAAGGGACAATCCCAGCAAATGGTTGCAGACCTCCGCCTTGGCAATTCTTGAAGCATGGTGCTGGGGATCGACCATTGTAATACCGGGTTTTGATCGTGACTCATTCGGTATCACAAATCTTTGTGGCCTCGGATCCTGCCCGCCAGGTGCGCGCCAACAGCATGAACGAGGCAGGGGCTCCGTCACAGGCCCCTCCGCCCCTTTCCCGTGGCCCGGTGCAACCAAAGGCAAGCCACAAAGGAGAGCGTTTGAAGAAAGACTTCCTTCCAGATAGCCCAGGCTTTCTACATCCATTTGTACCATACATGCTGTATGGTGCTGGGTTCTACTACAATGGCGAAACTCCTAGAAGCACTGGGGCGGTCCAGCGTTTCCAGGTACCTGCTATCCTAGGTAACCCGGGATGGACCTGAAGGTTGTCTTTGGTTGCTCAAAATAGTGGTCACTGGAAGCACTGAGATTGGTAGTCCCCTCTCCCCGATCAGACCTTCGATCAAAGGTTCCTTGTGTGGTCGGCTGAGCTTCATAGATTGGCTATGATTGGCTCTGGAACCTTGTGAACACACCACCACGAGGTCTGAGTGTCCTTCGGCGTACGGAAATTTTGAGATTCGGGGGTGGTGGTCTCTTCACTTGCATGCCCGCAATAGTCATGCATCATTACATTGATCATTTGTTTCTGTCACCCGAATGGGTAGGCGGAAACAACATCAAACAACATCACCCGAGCCACAAGCTACAACCATCAATCGTTCGGGTTTCCTTTTGATTCGACACGGTTTTGGGTGACTGGTTGGGGGGTGCAACCCCTGGGGCTTGTATAGGGGAAAGGGGAAACTACCCTGATGGGCTTATCATCCTCTTTGATTTCGGACATACAGGGAATAGTGCCATCTACTTTCACCCCTGTATGGACGTATGCAATCAGCTTTTGAGTTTGGCAACCTGCCGCATCCACGCACCTTGGCAAAGAGGTAAGGGTCGATTTCCAAAGAGAACGTTGAAGGGCAACTCTATGCAACTCAAGCCCTGAAGCGTGCCCACACGGTTTTGGGGGATGTTCCAAGGTGTTGCGTGTGCCCCGAGGCACGAACCCCCCCACAACACCCAAACACCCCGCCGTAGCCATCTTTGGCCTCGAGAAAGGGATGTCAAGAGCCGTTCCCCCCAGGAAATCCGTCATGAAGGCCTTCCATTGGAAGACTGGTGGCAATTATCATAAATTATCGCAACCCTCCCAAGTGAGCTGCCTTTTTTGCGGCCGCTTCCGTTCTTTCCAGGGGGTTTCAACTTCAGAGGTTGGCTCATTTCCCGCCTAGAATGCATTGCTTGGGAGTGATTCGGAGAATGGTAAGACTTCCCTAAAACTCATTAGAGGAGTGACTTGGAGAACGGTAAGATCATGTGGCCAGTGATACCTCGGCGGCTTGTTGACCTAGCCTTCTCACCCCCGTCTTTTTTCCGAGCTCGCCAGGTCCTCTATGCGCCCATGTGCGGCCTGGTTCTGGTGACCAAGGCGGGATCGGGGGTTGGGTGTCCGCAAACGACCCTGATTGCCAAAATGTACGGGTCGATCCTTCTTTCAGAAGTCACATCTTTCGCCCAGGTGTTTGCAGATGTTCTGAAGAGAAGGTGTTTTAAACGGAATGGGGTAGGGCCCGTACGGCTATCGACTTCCCATTTTCAGTCAACACCACACAAAAGGCTGAGGCCCCTTTGGGAAGAGCTGTTGGAAACATGTAAGTGCACAGACCCGCTTTCCAAAAGGAGTTGCCACGTTCCAGAGGCAAAAGCTGTAAATCGAGACAACCCTATTGGAACAATGTACGGGTTCCCCCCCTGAAGCACAAGAAACGCGTTGCGAACGATGTACAGGTTCCGCCCTACCGCCTCAACAGTGATGGTACTCGCTGGAAGTGGTGAAGACTACTCTCTTTGCAAACACATGGCCCCGTACAAGAGGGCAATGGAGTTTTCCGGGCAAGCCAGGGATTCGGAGGAACAGCGAGTTGAGGCCTTTATAACCGGCAACCCGACCCACAGAAGGTCTTAGGAGTTGGGACACCACTCGAAAAGCACGAAGAAGGACACATAAGGTTTGCATAGCTGGTAGGTGGGACATTGGAGGTTTGGGTGAGCCCCAAGATCTTGGAGAGGGTCGGGAAAGGAAACCAGAACTTGGCTGCAAAGCACGAGACACCTGGCACCATGCTTTCATTGTCTAACCTACTTGGCTGATGGATGACTGCCCCGCTTTCCATGGGTAACGTCCCTCACTTGCTACGGTAGAACCCACCAAGAGGACTTATCAACTGAGGACATGAACCACTTACCTGACGCGGGACCCGTGGTCATTTCAGTAGTGATTCATCTTGTTGCCTGTGCCATCCAAAAAAAGAAAAGAACAACAACTGGCAAGAGACCCCCTTCGGGCTACCTGGTGGTCCTACAAGTCCTCATGGGTTTGAGACAGGTGATGGGATGCCCCGACTTCTTTGTTCACTGGCCGGAAAGGGCGATCAGGAGAATTGGTCCAAAATGATGAGGTTTGGTAACCAAATATTTGCCAGCCTATGTTCAATTTGGGGGGGGGGGTGGCACATTGGGCAAGCGAGTTCTCAATTACAAGATCTGAAATGCATGTAATATACGCGTGTGTCAGTGTGATCTTAAAATCACCTTGCAAACTCTGTTTGTTAGAATCCTTTGAGGGTCTCAAAGGGCCATGGGTTTGGAATGTATGTACCAAACTCAAGGGCAGGGAATCCTGGTTCCCTGCCTTTTGTGGCTTGCAAAGCATTGGGCATGCGTTTAAAAGGTATGTGCGAGAAACAAGGCCACATCATATTAGTAAGCCCCCTTTCCCTTGGTCGGTCGTGGTACCTTTGGTTTCATTTTGTATACCAGTTTGTGATCTTGTGACGCTCCGAAGAAAGATAAAGGGTACCAATGCCCCCACAAAGGGCAGTGTCAAAATCATTTGCTGTTCAATGTTTGAACTCCATACCGGAGAGAATGGGTCGGGCAAAACCAAAGTCCAGAAAACATAAGAGTGTGTCTTTTCTTGAGGGTGCCCCCTTTTTAGTCTTGGTTCTTTAACTTGCTGGTGCTCAGTAGGGAACAAGAAATGGAATGACCCCCATAAACCCTCCAACTGGTGGATTCCTTCAAGGGGACCGAAGCCTGGGCTCATTCCATTTCTCGTTCCCTATCGCACCGATCGCAAGCTGAAGCTAGGCCCCCCAGTAGCCTTTCTTTGGAGACTAGAGAGAAAAGTTGGTACCCTTGTTCTAACCTCTCTACCGGAGGACCTAGAAAATGTTTGCTTCGAAGAGAGGGGAAGGCAGGATGCGCCAGGTGGAGGACCAAGCACTGCAGCTGCTGTGCCCTGCACCCCCGCCGCTGCCGGCCTCCTACCTCCTGGCCCGGGGCGGTCCGGTTTCGCTGGTCGGGTCAGGTAAAAACCCGCGTTTACGGCTGAGGACGAGGTAAATAACGGGGTGGGGACCCGGGTTGGTGGCCAGATTCTGCTTGACCCCGAAAGGGTGTCCTTTCTTGGGTGAAAATGGGTTTGAGGACTTCGCACGAAAGTCGCCCCAGCTAGGAGTTCGTCTTGAGGGCTGAATCGGTTTCAATTGCTTAGGACCTTAAGACGCTACCCTCGGGGGAATCTTCCAGCCCTTTCCGCAGGTCGGGGACTTCAAGAACTTGAAGTTCATCGACATCTGAGTGGAACGCGTTGGGCGCGTTGCGTCGGTCAAACCTGAAATCAAGCGCTTCATTTCAGAAGGAGACAAGGTTCATTAATCCCGGGCCGGACATCTGCAGATGTCGTTTCTGAAAACATCACCTTTTGGGCCAATTTCAAGTGAGCTTCCATTTGGTGGTTGTTTTTGGTTCGTAGGTTGGCCATGGAAAAGAAGCCATGCCTATCTGGTGCGGATGGCCCGAGATCGGCCAAAAGCAAAAAGATGCGCGCCTGCCTTGCTTGAGCCGATTCGGGGGCAGACGTCCGCAGTAGATATGGTTGTTGTTTGTTCTGGATGTCTTTGGCGGGTGGTTTAAAGGGCCCCTGAGATGGTGGTCGCTTAGTATACGAGGCAATGCTTGGCTTGCTATGCCTTGCTTGCGCACACACATGCAATAAATCGAGGGACAATTAAGAGTTGTCAAAAGGAAGAGTCTTCGGAAGAAGCCCGATGTCTCCAAGTCAGCCTTTTGTTTCTTCTTCTTCTTCTTCGAGACCAAATCTCGAAACTTCTGCTGGAACCCTGAGACCACTCCTACCCCCCAATTTCCCGAACACCTCCCAAACAGCCCCGACCCACACCTCCAGTCTGAATCCAATCTCACAATCTACGGTGCTCCAGAGGTATGTTTGGGCATGGCGCAACATCGTGCTTTGGGTGCCGGGAGGCGCATTCAAGTCCCGCATTGTTTTGAAGCCTTGAGTTTCAGGATCTTCCTGTCCCTTCTGCACGGATTTTAACGTCCGACACTTGCCGGGGTTTGTTGTTTTGTTTCGATCTTTTCTGCGTTTTGGACCCCAGAACCCGGAGGAAGCCAAAAAACAGATAGCCCACAGGACCCGCGTATCGGCAGCATTTGCGGATAAAATAGGGCCGCTGTTGAAAGCGCGCGCCGCGGGGCGCGCGGTCCGGAGGCCGGGACTGGATGGTTTGCTGCGTGATGTTTGGGCGTGAAGCTGCGTGTTCCATTTAGGTCTCTGGTTGATTTTGCGGATACGCTTTTTTGGAGTCGTAGGGAAATCGCTGCATTGGGAAAAGCAGGTAGACAGGGGTCCGTTTTTGGGACCAGCCCAAAGGCGTTGTTGCCAAAACTGGGCAGGTTTTTGTGTATGGCCAGGGTAGAGACGGCAGATACCACCCGCGAACTCAGCCCTTAGGGTCTTTGGGTCTGACTCCCAGGCCATGTGCGAGATGATGATGCAGCCCCTCTCGAAGCCCTTTCGGCTTCTCACAGCAACTTGGCCTCGGTTGAATGTCCAGGTCGGGCAGATCGCTTCCAAAAGGGGACGTCTTCCCTCTGTATCAACCAGGGGTTTCAGAAGGCTGGGTCATTTGATTCCTGCTTTCTGACGGGTAAAACCAATGACACGTGTTGGGCAAACTTTGAAACAACCAGCCCCTATTCGTCCCCTCAGGGAAACCAACAGAAGGAAGTAGTTTGAAAAGGTTTATACAAGGGGCTGGTGGGCCCAACTCTGGCGTCCAGTGGCGGGCCATTTGTCACCCCGCTTGGGAGCGGGCTTCCCCATAAAGAGCATGGCACTTTGGTTCTTGTTTTTATATACTTCAAACTCAGCAAACATGTGCTGCAGTCTTTGTGAGTCGATGTTAATATTCTGTTCAGAGAAAACGACACTTTGGTGTGGTGTCTTTGGTTACCTTGTACATTTCACGTCTTGTTCCATCCCCAATTAGAGATGTGATGTTTGCATCGTCTTCTAGCTGGTCTTCCTTTTGGTTTCCCTTTGTCACCTACCCAGAAAGGATTCCGAGCCTTGGAAAAGGACGTGGCTCAGGAGGTGTCCTTGCCCGAGTTCAACGGCTTGCTGCAGAAGGCTGAGGCGCAAGCTGCCCTTCAGCCCCTCTAGTCAAGAAACCCCCCCACACACCAGGGCCCCCCCAAGCCTAGAGGGTTCCAAAGGTTCCTTTGGGGGGTCCAATTCCTCTTTGGGGGCCCCTGACAGCAGAAATTTGGGGGTTGGTCTGAAAGTTGGTGTCATTTGAAGAAACCCGCAGCCAAAGAGGGTAGCCTTCGGCCTCAAAAAAAGACGATCGAGCCACCCAACGGGACAGACTCAAAACGGCGAGTCAGGGCCGCGACAAGTTGGCGCGGATCTTCCAGTATTCCGCCCGCTTGTTGGTGGGTACCGCCGCCTACCTGCAGCCCACAGCCCGGGACCCGACGACCCGATTTAAATCGAAGCAGAGCAAGGGGTTGGCCCAAATGGAAGAAAGGTCAACCAAAAACATTGTACCCTCAAAAAAACTGTCTCCGTAGACATTCCTTGCTTGTTATGGCTTGGTGGTTTGGCAGCTAGGGCTGCATACCCTACTCTTCTCCTCTCCTCACCTTGGTTTGTTCCCATATAAACCTCAATGTTCACTTGGATGAATTTTGCTCGCTCCCTTTTCGAGGGAGAGAGAGTGAGAGAGAGAGAGAGAGTTGATGCAAGTAGGGTTGATTTTCTCGGATTGTGATCTTCCGGATGTTTCCAAAGTTAACATAGGGCCTTAATGTGGAGAAGGGGGAGGGTGGCTTGGGGAGCTGGGGTGAGCGGGTGACCTCCGCATGCATTCATACTTTCTGGCTCTGGATCGAATCCTGTACCACTTAAAATGGATGACATTTGCGAATACGGGGCTTGTCCCCTACCATCCACCACTCCTATCCTATCATCCACCAACCATCCTACCAACGAATCCTACCATCCTATCAACTGTTTCGAGTCGCCACCTTCTCACCGTCGCGACACGAGACTCCGAGGCGGGCACGTTGCTAGCTCGAGTGGAGGGCCATGCCAGGCGGGAATCGGGATGGTCCTGCGCTCGTTGCTTGGAGCAAGTGGGTTATACCCAGGCCTGATATATATATATATATATATTATATATATATATATATATGTACATACATATATATATATATGTATGTATAGCTAGGATAAGTGGGGTGAGTTGGTGTACCATGGTTATCACCTGCTTACTAAGTGGGTTGAACATGCAAGCAAGTAGAGGATGTTGACAAGGATTGTAAGGGTTTCCATACATGACCATGGCACATATGACCCATGGTCTTGGTTGGGTCCTTTTTTTGGAGCGCTTGAACACACATATGACCGTTGTTGTTTTTTTTTGGGGGGGGGGATGCAGGTTGATACGACTTGCTTACGCAAACAGTGGATGCACAAGATCCACCTCGCACCAGTCGGTAGGTGGTGTCGCCAAGTATTCATAGGCTTTCATCATGGGGCGCCAAGACTGACACGACGGTTGCCATCAAAACCTCACTCGCATGGTAGCTGTTGCTCGGGGAAGTCCCCCTTGAAGCAGTCGTTGCACGTTTGCATAGTTCTGCGGCCATTGCAGAGGCCTCTGAATCACTGAAGGGTTGCGCCTGCTGTGGCTCTGAATTCACTGTTGGATGTTTCGAACAACGCCGCAGCCTGAAAATTGGAAGTCAGAGGAAACATTTTTTGACCTCCCCCCCCTGCCGCCTCAGAACTCCTTGAAGAAGCCCTTCCAAGCTTTTCCTGGGGCTGGCAACGGGTTTCCTCCCTAAGTTAGCAGCCTATGGTCGCAGCTCTGGGTAAGTTTGCCGACTGACTCACTCGACCAACACATCAGACAATATGTCAAACATTTTAGTTTTGGGGTGGGGGCAAAAACTTCGGTGGCCTTGAAAATCTCAGATCTCGGCCCATGGTTAGTCCCATGTAGGTCAATTTGGATTCTGACCTTTCGGTTTTCCCTATGGCTTCCCAGTTCAGTCCAGGACCCCAGTGTTGTAGTGCCAGGCCCTTTGGGCAGACGAGACATTTTTTGCATCAGGTACGGTGCATGTGGAGTCATCACAATTTTAAGATCACCGAACAAAATTAAGCAACCACAAAAAGATTGTCTTCCGGGGTGGTTGCCAGGGGTTGGCCAAGCTTTTGTGTAAACAGCGCTTTTCAAGTGGAGCCACAAGGAGGCTGTTTAAACAATTCGTGTTTGAGCATGTTGGAGCAGGGGCTTGAATCGCCCCATTCCATCTCCGCAAAATGATGACTTTTTTCCCTTTGGCTTCCCGTTCAACCCCAAAAGGGCTACCCTCGAAAAACAAGCAGAGCCAAATGAACGGTTGGGACGCGCTTGGTGCGTTTCGCGATGGTTTCAACCGCGTTTCCTGAGAAAAACCGATCCGCCGACGGATCGATCCCGGTGTGGGGAAGCCGAGCGCGAAAGTTCTCCCGAAATGCTTCGCCAGAACGGTGATGGTTCAGCTCGCCGGGGCCCGGCGCACGCATCGCTGGTGCAAGGAGCCGGTATGGGCTCTGGGGCCTTTTCGTGGCTGGGTGTGACCGAATCGACCCCCAAAACTGGAGCTTTTTGGTTTCACAGATTCGGGCTTTTCCCATGGGTGATCGACCTTTTGCGGAACCCAGAAGGCTGTCATGCCTTCGCCATACTTTGCGTGTTTTTGAGGGATATCAAGGTCGGCAACTAGGGGTGTTTCCCTTCAGAGTTTGGAAGCATCATAGGCCCAGTTTAAACAAGGGGTATTTGAAGGAAGTTTTAAGGTGTTGGCCTCCGGAGCGTTTGACCCTACATGATCGATAGCTTACCAAATTGGGACCGACTCAATCTCCCATGTCCTTTATGGGTGAGGGAATCCCCCTGTCTCCCCGCACACCCGTAAAGTGTGAACTTCAAAAGACAACTTTGGCACAAGCGACCCATTTCTAGAACCAACCAAAAAGGAGTTGCTGTTTTTGTTGTTGTTTGAAAACCATCCAGAAGGGTTCCAACCACGGTTGAGCCAATCCCCTGTTTAAACATGAAGCACCCATTCTTTAAACAATCATTTTGCTTCTCCTTTGAAGGTGGCCCAGATCTGATTTTCTTGAAACATAGTTTGCCCAACCCTGCTTGATGTTTTCGGGAGATGGCGAAGGGCCACGTGCGACGCCAATGGAATCCCCTTCAAAGTCATAGAGTCATAAG